TCAAAGCCACAACCGCAAAAAGTCGTTCGGTATGTGCTGCTCATTCATCTACCTTGCCTGAGGGCAGCTGCTTATCTTTTCTCTCATGGAAGTAGAGTACTCCAACTTATGTCTGTTAAAGCAAACTTTCCTCTTACCTTTGCAATACTTGATGATCATTATCAGCCAGCTTTGAAGTGGCACCATGTGTAAGGTTACATTTAGCTGCATTTAATCGTTTCTCTCTCTCTTGTGGACATATTGTGAGGCTAAGGTTCTGTCTAGCAGGTAAGACATTCACTGATTTTTCTAAAGCTACCTCTCAAATCTTGAATCTTAAACAGCAATTACTGTGCTATCATAATGTGGGAAGGTTTGCCTGCTGTTCATAATCAGAACCAATGGACTGTATCGTAACAGAAATCTCCATCTGCTATGTTTTTTTTCCTGAACTTGTAACAAACTGGTGCACCAGCTGTAGAGCCCTGCTGCCGGCAGGAGGTTGTAAAAAAAAAAGCACAGTTCTCTTGCTACTCTTTTGTTTTTTTTTCTCCTCACTATCTCCTTAGAACATGAGCCGATTCCTGACGATAATGAAACACCGTGTTAGTCTTTCTGGTATTGTCCTTGAACCCTTAACATAAATGTAAAAGAAGGGTAGTAGCTGGCGATTATCCACCTTCAGCTGATATGGAAGGAGGAGGTGCTTTCTTTTGCAGCCCCTGTGCCCTTTCATGACTCCTGTGGCCCTGTGCAGCTCTGCGGGCAGGGGATGGAGGGTCATTAGGGGTTCACATGTGGAGAGGAGGGCGTCTGTCTTCTGTAATGGATGGTTGAGGGTGTTTGTGTATTGTATGTACGGTCGGCAAGGTCTGTCATCTCGGTTGTGGGCAAAAGACCTGCAACTGACAAATAAAGGCCATCTCCTCTCATCTCATCTTAGCGAATCTGTGGATCTAGAGCAGCGCTCTGGTGATTTTTATTTATTCCTCGCTGTCTCCTAATCGGAAACTGTGGGAAACATTTTTCACCATCAGTGGTTGACAATAGTCTTTGTGTTTGATGCCTGCTGCTGAAAGAGCGGCTATACAAATATGTTTCCATCAGCCTCCCTTGCAGGTGCGGTTGTTTAAGCAGAAAATCTATTTTGTCAATTTTTTGCAGGGTTATTTTATATTATTTTATTCAAATTAAATTCAGTGCTTTCATAAACGGATATATAAAATTTGTTTTCATCCTTTAATTTTAATCAAATGCTCTCTCTATACGTTTTTAAACCTAATACTTTTCCTTATGTTTTCCCATATGA